AAGGGAAGATAACAAAGAATATCATCAAGGCAAAGCTAGTTAAAAATATCAAGGTAAGTCTAGCAAAGAATATTGTCATGGCAAAGCTAGTAAATAATATCAAGGTAAGGCTAGCAAAGAATATCATTAAGGGAAGATAACAAAGAATATCATCAAGGCAAGGCTAGTATATGATACCATCAAGGATAGGCTAGCAAATACACTGTCAAGGCAAGGCTAGCGAAGAATATCATTAAGGCAAGATAAGAAAGAATATTATCAAGACCAGGCTAGTAAGTCACATCATGAAGTCAAGGCTAGCAAAGGCACATTTTCAAGTATTTTCAAGGCTGAAAAGGAGAGGATTTGGGAATTAAATCACGGAACTGAAGTCCAGTTAGCAAAGTGTCATCAAAGGGAAGAATGAAAAGAACAAAAAAGAAGCAAAAAATGAAAATCACGACAAGGACCTTGCACGCAACGAGGAAATTGAAGCGAAGATTGGCGAGAGAGGTGGGAAAGGGAGGTGAGAAGGGGGAGGGGGAGGGGAGAGGAGAAGAGAGGGCGAAGGAGGAGGGAGCGGCGGAGGAGAGGGAAGGGAAGGGGAGGGGGGGTGACGTGGGGTGTGGGGCATGGGGGGGGGTCTGACTTACGAAGCACATGTGTCCGCTCTTTTTTTCCCTTCGTGCAGATCATCGTCTTGTCCAGCTTCATCTTCAGCCTCTTCTCGCACTTCTTCAGCACGCGCATGTTTATCACTTCAGCCGGTATCTTAGAGGGTTCTGAATAAGAGAGAGAGAGAAAAAAAAAACATAAAACCAATGTACACACTGTATATATCCTGTACACATAACAATCATGGATCCACGTATGCATACATGTACATATTTTTAAAAATTAAATTAATCCATATATATATATATATATATCATATATATATATATATATATATATATATATATATATATATATTCATATTCAAATATGCATCTTTTGCTCATCCATTCAATCATGGAGCTATTCATCTATCAATTCATCCTATACGATTCGCCAAATGTATTACTTACATGACGTACTTACAATTCTCCGATTCTTCACATGCAATCTTTACATAAAATACTTACAATTATCCGATTCTTCACATGCAATCCTTACATAACGTACTTACAATGCCCTGTTCCACTTACCTCTCTTCGTCGATTTCCTGATCCCGTAACCCATCGACGCCGCTCTTTCCTTGTTGATTTTGATCTTGTCGAAAATCGGTAAGCACATGGGCTTAATGAACCTGTTGAACTTCTGTTTCTTCTTCAGCTTCAGGATGACTGGGCACTCGACCGGGTACAGCGGTTCGCCGTCTGAGGGAATGAGGGACGTGAGGGGGGTGCTGGCGAAGGGGTGGGGGGGGGTCTCACATGCACGGAAGCGTACTCATACACACGCATACACGCATATGTACAAGCACACTCATACACACGCATGCACGCATACATACACACACACTTACACACGCATGCATACATACAAACAAACACTCATACACACACGTGCATACAAACACACCCACACACACGCATGCACGCATACATACACACACACACTTACACACACATATATACACACTCATACACACGCTTGCACGCATACATACACACATACATACTTACACACACATACATACAAACACTCATAGACACGCATGCACGCATACATACACACACTTACACACACATACATACAAACACACTCATACATACGCATGCATACATACACACACATACACATTCACACATACACATAAACATACACATATAGACATACGAATACAATACACATGCACGTACACAAGCATATTCAATTATAAAACACTGACACAGTCGGACACGCAGACACATCTAGACATTTAAAGACACATACACACTAATGATAATATCAGTAACAAAAATGATGACATTAATAATAATTATAGCTATAATGCTTAAAAAATATTAGCAATATCAATACTAATAACAGCAAAAATATTGATAATAATAAAAACAATAATAATAATAACAATACCAGCAACAATAATGATAATAAAAATGATAATTACTATATCATTACATCAAAAATGATAATAACAACACTTACGATGATAATGAGGATAAAAGCATTGGAGGCAATAATGACGACGAAGAAGATAATCACATAAATAACAAATAACCAAAAATCTAAACAAACAAACAGCACAGTAATAATGAAACTTGGTAAATATTCGTAAATAACTAAGCAAACAGCTGGACGCACTTAGCTCTGTCTTGCCCATCTTGTCGTAGCAGTCGCTAGGGATGAAAATACGAGCAATTTTCTGTGGTTGAATGTCCCCGAGTTTGTTGATACTGATACGACCTTCGCCGATGATGGCGGCCACGTCCTTCTTGAACGGATCTCGCTTCTTCGTCTTCTGTCGCGGGTTGGGGTTCTTCCTATTCGTGTCTTCCCTTTCGTTCTCTTTGTCTTTCTTGCCTCCTTTCTTCGTTCGATTATTGCCGTTCTCTTTGTCTTCCTTCTTGCCTCCTTTCTGCGTTCGATTCCGATTCCTCTGCCTCTTGTTCCTATCGTTATTGTTTTCGTTGCCGTTCTTCTTGTCTTTCTTCTTATCATCATCGCCCTCGCTGCCGTTCTTCCTGTTTCTTCTCTCCTTTCTTTCTGCTTTCCTCTGGTTCCTCCTCTCTTCCTCTCTGTCTCTATTCCTGTTCTTGCCACCCTCCTCATCATCCGTTTTCTTGTTCTTTCTTCTTTTCCTCTTGTTATCTTTCTTCTCTGTATCCATGTCTTCCCCTTCTTTGACTTCGCCCTTCTTAGCTTCTCCCTTATTCCTTCTTCTCTTATTTGTCATATTATTGCCCTCTCCTTCTGCGTCTCTCTTCTTCCGCGAATTATTCTTCTTGTTCTTCTTTTCCCAAAGGAATCTGAGAAGTAGGAGAAAAAAAGAAAAATCATGAAATGATTAGAAATCATGACGAAGCGTGGAAAAGAGATATTGATAAACAGAGGAAGGGAGGGAGAGAGAGAGAGAGAGGAAGAGGGAGAGGGAGAGGGAAAGGGAGAGGGAGAGGGAGAGGGAGAGGGAGGGGGAGAGGGAGAGGGAGAGGGAGAGGGAGGAGGGGAGAGAGAGAGAGGAGAGAGAGAGAGAGAGAGAGAGAGAGAGAGAGAGAGAGAGAGAGAGAGAGAGAGAGAGAGAGAGAGAGAGAGAGAGAGAGAGAATCGGCCAGTTTGTTAAAATTGTTCGAGGGCCCACCCAATGAATATTCATATATACAGACATGTATATACACAAATAACAGTATATCTGTCAATCCGATAGATATACATTGATCTATCCATCCATCCGGTAGATGTCTAGACCAATAGACATGTAATTATTTTAGTGTACATGCACGTCTGTACAACGAATCTTCTTTGGATCGGGCCTTGCGCAAATTCAACAAACCGGCCATACACCCAAATGAAAAACACTTACTTGCAATAAGTACAGCAGGAGGTCGTTGTGAGGATGTATCTGTCACTAAGAAGCGTTCCACCGCACAATCTCTCAATTTTGCGATCATCTTTGACCTTGTCTCCCACGAGAGGTAGTTCATACTGAACCACGCTGACCTAGGATGGAGAAGAGAAATTCTTAGGGGTTGGTGTCCTGTGGTGTGTGAGGAAGTTTGGCCAAGTTGTTTATGTCAATGGGGTGTTTTTGGGCTTCATAAGTTGCTGAGTATAAGCGAGTGCTTAAGTTTCTGGTTAGTGAATTATAGTTTTTTCTGTACTTTCAGTTGTTGGTTTACGACTTACGTACAAAATACAGATGGTAAACGTTAGCCTCAGTCTCTCTCTCTCTCTCTCTCTCTCTCTCTCTCTCTCTCTCTCTCTCTCTCTCTCTCTCTCTCTCTCTCTCACACACACACACACACACACACACACACACACACACACACACACACACACACACACACACACACACACACACACACACACACACACACACACACACACACACACACACACACACACACACACACACACACACACACACACACACACACACACACACACACACACACCACGACTCTCGTGCGCATACAGGCGATGGCGACTTACCAGCCATGGGAACTGCTGCCGTTTCCTGTTTGTTCTCGCGTTGAGGGCTCGCGACATGGGCATATCCTCGTCTTCATTCTTGTTCTTCCTTTGAAGTCTCTGCGCCTTATTCTCTTGCAACCTGTCCTTCCGTCTGTCCTTCTCGAGCTTCTTTGGTTCGTTCTCATTCCTTCCTTCGTCCGAGTTTCCGGTCTTCTTCCTCTTCCTCTTTCGGCGTTCAGCGTTCTCCTCGCTGCCTCTGCCTCCGTTCTCCCTCTGTCTCTTTGGGCCGTTCGCATTATCTTTGCTTTCTCTGTCTTTGTTCTTTTTATTTTGGTTCTCGGCGTCTTTGTCTTTGCCTCCTGCCTTCATTCTATTCCTCCTCTTCTTTGGCTTCTCGTCGTCCTTTTCTTCTTTGTCTCTTCCGTTCTTTCCCTTGTTTTGGTCCTCGTCGTTCTTGCCTCCTCCTTCCGTTTTCCTCATTTTCTTCATCCTCCTCCTCTTTGGACCGTCGACGTCCTTCTCTCTCTTCTCGTCCTTATCCTTATCGCTCCTATCCCTATTCCCACCATTCTGTGGCTTCATCTTCCTACTCTTTGTACCCTCGACGTCCTTCTCTCTCTTCTCGTCCTTATCCTTATCGCTCTTATCCCTATTCCCACCATTCTGTGGCTTCATCTTCCTACTCTTTGGACCCTCGACGTCCTTCTCTCTCTTCTCGTCCTTATCCTTATCGCTCTTATCCCTATTCCCATCATTCTGTGGCTTCATCTTCCCCCTCTTCCTTTCAGGGATTCTGCCTTCCCTCTCGGCCATTCTTCTCTCCTTAAGGTTCTCCCTCTCTTCTCTCCTCACGCGCCGCAGGGACTCGTTGTTTGCCTTCGCTTTATTGGCCTTGCTCTTATTCCTCTTCCTAAAGTACTTCCTTATTTGGTTGGGGAGGTTGTGCGCGCACGCTGGACGAAGAGAAAGTGAAAAGGCTCTGTGAATGAATACTTTGTGTGTGTGTGTGTGTGTGTGTGTGTGTGTGTGTGTGTGTGTGTGTGTGTGTGTGTGTGTGTGTGTGTGTGTGTGTGTGTGTGTGTGTGTGTGTGTGTGTGTGTGTGTGTGTCGATCAATATATTTTATTTTATCCCCCTACAATGATACAAGGCATTTTACTCTCGTATTTTAATTATCTTATATGAAAAATATATTTTTAAAAAATGTAATGCATTGACTTTACTGGTAGCAAAGACGTCAAATCGCATTTTTTTAAATTGAATATCCTGATGTACATTATACGAGATAATGAACATCACTGAACAATTCTTCTCTCCAAAAGAAGAGAAAGAAAAAGAGAGAAAAAAAAATCGGCATAGGAAACAGACTATTATCTTAAACCACGTGATTTTGCCGCTATTTGCAAAATCACTCCAATATCTGTTCTTATCTTCCTTCTTCTTCCCCCAATATCTGTTCATATTCTCCCTCTTCTTCTTCTTTACTTTACTCAAGAAAAGACAAGACAAGCAGTGGGGGACTACATAAGACCGTTAAGAATCGCCTGTCTCGATCCAACCGAAAGGGTAACGTCCAATATACTCACTGCACTGCGGATTGAGTTCGGCGTCAGAGTAAATCCCTGCGAGATAAGAGAGGAAGAGGCTGTGAGAAGGACATCGTCTGAATCATCACATGATAATTGCGAAACTTACGACGGAAAATGCAAACTGGAATACTACAATGGAATATCATACACAAATGTCTAAATAGTACTATAGAACAGGGAATTCAGGTATATACACGTGCACACACGCAGCATTAGTGTGTATTCGCGTGTATCCCCTCCCACATGTGCGAGTGGGAGAGAACATACGCCCTAAATATCACCGAACAAGTGCATCTTACATTTCCTCCTGTCCTTTGCTGTGAATTTGATCACGAAGCCCTGGTCTTGCCTTTCGTCGTTCGAGTCGAAGTACAGCAGCACTTCTTTGTAGCCTGTGTAGACCTGCGAGGGAGGGTTGTCTGCGCAGAACCTGTGGGGAAAGGTGGATGAGTTTGAGGTGGGGAGGGCGAGGCACCATGAGGAGGAGCAGAGGGCAAGGAAACATGTTTACATAAATCAGGGTGGGGAATACTCTAAACAAATAAATAATAATAATAATAAAAATTGTGGTTGGGGATAACTCATGTAAAAGTAAACACAAAACGGAAACAAAGACTCGAGTCCAAGAACAGAAACTTAATGAAAAGTCACCACAGAAACAGCAACAGTACGAATCTATTCACAGATACGAGAACGAGCCACCGATGCGACACTCACTCTCGACCGTTGATCGCCGAAATGGAGTCGCACTGACTGACCCGCACCACGTCCTCGCCGGCGCAGATCGTCCTGTTGAAGTCGGAGCCGGTCGGCGGAACGTACGGGGCGAGCGTGGTGGCGTCGGTGCCGTTCCCGAAGTCGCTTTCGTTCAGCGCTTGGCGACGGCTTCGGCTGAGGTCGTTGGAGGCGAGGTTGAAGCTTTCGAATTCGAGCCGGATGACGCAGTCTTCGAAGTCCTCGTCGCACTGCATAACGTGAGTGGGAAAAAGTTTGTAAGATTTTGACAATACGCTAATTGCAAGTGAAGATGGTCATGATAGTATCACTAGTACAGTAGTTCTAGTAAAATTGTTACTTACAATGACAATAATGATGATAATATTTAGAAGAGCCAAACACTTAATAGTCATCTGTTACACCACTTTAAAAAGACAGTGAGGCCTCCCAGACTGAGACTGGAGAAATTGGGACCTATCCCTGGAAAGTGGCCCAGGTGGCGCAGTCGGCACTTCGATATATATTTATTCATCATTCATTCATGAATTTATCACATTATACTGTATGTGCGTGTGTTTCTGCCTCCTAGGAGAAGCATTCTCGAAATCAAGCCATTCTTTTATGAACCGTATCCATGTTAACAAAATAGAAAAAGGTATGAATGAGAATGAATATCTTCACCATACAAGACCACTCTTTTAGGTTTTGTAACCGCCAAAAGCACCGTGTAGCTCCTTTTTTTCCCACTTGTGTAACCAAGCAGGCCAAAGCTAATCACTGCTCGTGTTGTTGGCTGGACATAGAAAACGAACGACAATTTTTTTTTATGAAATTTTCCCATTTTTTGTAAACCAAGAAGTCCCCCCCCCCCCCGACTCCATCTCCGTCTGGCAAAAGCTAACCACTGCCCGTGTTGTTGCCTGGACACAGAAAACAACAACAAAATTACCCTAAAGACGAAAGGACATCGCATGTGGGGCTTGTATTGGGGATAGTCCGGGGACGGTATAATGAGGGGCTCGCGGAAGGCCCCATAGAAGACGCCGCCGCAGCAGTACTCTTCCTTGATTTGAATCGCCCTGAAAGAAAGGCGAAAGGGAGACATAAGACGAAGAAAGAAATGCGAATTAATTGATTTATGATTATAAGAGATGGTTGCTATCATCTTCATTCGAATCTCTCCCTCGGTTTATATCTGTTTGTGTAAGAGTGAGAGGGAGAGAGAGGGGTAAGAGAGAGAGAAAGTGTGTGTGTGTGTGTGTGTGTGTGTGTGTGTGTGTGTGTGTGTGTGTGTGTGTGTGTGTGTGTGTGTGTGTGTGTGTGTGTGTGTGTGTGTGTGTGTGTGTGTGTGTGTGCGTGCTCAAAATACATTCTCTTACTGAGTACAAAACTATATATTGCACAGGTATCAGGAATCGCACTCACAAGTCCTTACTTAAAAAATTTAACGTACCGAATATCTGGAACAATATTTGGATCTCCGTTGGTCACGATATAGCCAAACATCTGGTCACCGAATGAGTGTATGCTCTCATTTCTGTCCAGGTAACAGTATCTCTTGATGTGGCTGAGGAGAACAGATAATTTATTTGCACCTCTTTCACTGTAAACACTGTGTATATACTCTAATACACGTGCAGATTCCTGGTTAATATGATAAATCCAAAGCGTTGAACATACGCTTTGTCAGTACTTACGTGTTGTTATATTTGTCTCTAATTTCCACATAGGGGGGCTCAGCATTTTCCTGGTTGTCCAGATCACACGGGTATAATTCACCTGTTACCGCATTAGTGAATTGGATTTTCTGCAGGATCAACCTATAAGGAACGTAAAGAATTCAGTCGAGTGTAGACTGGAAGGGGAACAGTATAATACAAATACAGTAAATCATCATGGATGCTTTAGATGAGTAGTTTGGGTAAGAAGAAAATTAGGCATGAACTAGCAATTTGAAGAGAATGTAGGGTCGTTACATCACTCACTCCATGGTATAGAGACACTCTGTGTTGTTGCTTGTGGAGGTTTTGTTCACCCTGTCCAATGCAGACACGAAAGTGGTGGTGTCTGTTCCCTCCTCGTTCACTTCTGCGCGGATGTCTGGGGTGTCTTGTCGTATGCCAGTCAGTGCTATTAATGACGCCATAGAGCTGAAGGTTTGTGTAACTGTGCCTGAAGAACGCACCTGAAGAAGGAATGCATTATGAAGAACACACCTGAAGGAGGATTACATTATGATGAACACACCTGAAATAGGATTGCATTATGAGAAAGTGCATAAACAACATCGAATAACTGGACACTTCTCTGCCTCCCAAAAGCTTCTTCAGACGTTGAGATGGACACATTTACAATCACAGCTGTGAGTATTTGTTATGTTTATAGAATTCGCATTTGCATTTTTTTGCGAAAATGCAAATACCTTAATTAATATAAATATAATTTGAGTGAGTGAAGAATGAGGAAAACCTATAAGGCGAAGTGGCCCCATAGTTACTGCCATCTCTCATTCATTTCAGTTATTAAAGTTTCTATGGCCGAACGCTTGCAATATATTCATAAATGACTCAATAAAGAAAATAGAAATAGATGTCCACGACTGATGTTGAACAACCCAAATAATCATTCAAGTCAGCTGCAGCATTTAGGAATTACGAGCGGAACCAGTGGAAATTAAACGAAACAAATAAAGTGGGAGATACTTATGCCTTCGCCTCCTCTCTTCCTTTTCCACTCCCTTTCACTCCTAGTGATTCCGGACGTGAAATGTCCAACGACGGAAACGACAGACAGACGAAACACAAAAAATATAGTAAGACGATATATGACCGGTAGTTAAAATTATTATTGCTGAAAATATATATATTCGTTCCATCTTCAATACAAACTCTGCCGCAGAGGTTCAAATCTGAGACTTGTAATTTATCGAAACTGTAATCCCAGACCGCCAAAGAGACGTGGAGGGTTCCAGAATAGGTAATGGCCTCTGTAGGTTTCCGACAATGGGTGAGTCGACGAACCTAGACAAATTGTAAAACGTTTTTTCTTCCTCGGGAATTATGACTTGATTTTCTCCACTGGACATTATTCATGGCACTGCAGAACTAGACTGATTCATCTAGAAACTTTAATGTGAACCATATAACTAAAAGAACCCTTCCTGTCAAACTGCAGGGGTGTTAGGGCATGAAAGTGATATACTAACCTGCAGGACAAACACGAACGTGAAGGTCTTTTCTTTCTGCATCTTTAATATGATTTCCTGTCCAAAGAATATTGTAATGATAGGGGAGTCGCTTGTCCCAATGGTGAAGTAGGTCGACACAGAGCCAGAGAAACCGGATGTGTTGAACTGGGCCGTGGTAGCTGTGGGGAGAGAGTCAGTCAGTCACTTATGCTTTTTCTGCTGAATCCGTTCATTTCTCCGTCTCTTTTACATGTTCAGTGTGTGAGGCTTATGGCTAAGAGCAGGGCTTAAACGTATTAACTTGTTTTATTTTTCAACTTTTGAATGCCGATATATTTGTAAATATTGCTACTGCAGCGTTATTATACAGGTGAGAGGATGTATTTTATTTATTTATTCTTATATCTTTTTGCTACATTATTGTCTTCCTTGTTTATTAACATATCATTATATTCTGGAGTAATAGTTGACCAACGTACTCGATGACTTGGGAAACCTTACCTTCTACGTCACAGGATCCGTCACAGGTGCCGGTGCGTTCGTCACAGGGGCCGGTGCGTCAAGCCGGTGCGTCCGTCACAGGAGCCGGTGCGTCCGTCACAGGGGCCGGTGCGTTCGTCACAGGTGCCGGTGCGTCCGTCACAGGGGCGTTCGTCACAGTGCCGGTGCCGTCACAGGGGCCGCGCGTTTGTCACAGGGGCGGGGCGTCCGTCACAGGGGCCGGCGTTCGTCACAGGGGCCGGTGCGTCGTCACAGTCACAGGTGCGGTGCGTCCGTCACAGGGGCCGGTGCGTTCGTCACAGGTGCCGGTGCGTCCGTCACACACAAGGGCCGGTGTCACAGTCCGTCACAGGTGCCGGGCGTCCGTATGTCACAGGTGCCGGGGCGTCCGTCACAGGAGCCGGTGTCACAGTCACAGGTGCCGGGGCGTCCGTCACAGGAACAGGTGCCGGTGCGTCCGTCACAGGTGCCGGGGCGTCCGTCACAGGAGCCGGTGTCACACAGGTGCCGTCCGTCACAGGACAGGTGCCGGGGCGTCCGTCACAGGAGCCGGTGTCACAGGGGCCGGTGCGTCCGTCACAGGGGCCGGTGCCTCTGTTACTGGTGCTGTAAAAGGCATGGTTGTTATAGAACGATTGTAAAATTATTTCCTGCCAATAATGAACACTAAAATACATGTAAGAAGTGCTATGCAAGCTCACTTAGATATCAGACTCGCAATAAAAGGTATATATGCAAATAAATTCATGCTGAAAATTGACAAGGTGAGTGAAAACGAATAATGCCATAAAATCACTTTCGGGAAGCAAATGTTTAATGGAAATAATGGAAACTTGCATATTGCATCGAAATAATATGTAACATAAACATCCAACGAAGGCTTCATCGTACTTGTTTTTTTTTTTTTTTTTTTTTAAGTTTTATGATTTATATGTACACAAGTCTGGATCAGTAGAGGAATATTGCAGAACACCACGACCATAGTCCACTTACATTTCATGTACAAGTAATCAAATAAGATAATAAAGTTAGAAAATAATTCAAAATGAAAATGCAAAACTACTGTCTATTCGATACTTTGTCATACACAACTGAAGGGCTTTATTTAATATTCTCTGCCAGTATTCTTAGCGATACCGCCCATGTCCCTGAAACCAACAGACTAACACCCGAAAAAAAAATTGTAGCATCTTTGGACAAGTTGGGGGATAAAATGTCAGTGTAGCAGCGCCTTCATATGAACTTTTCATGCACTCAACACACCCCGAATGCGTCATGAATGGCATAGGAGTCTAAAATCATGCATAACATTTACCTGGAGCTTTTGTGGTAGTTTCTGGTGCAGGTGTTGCTGTTACTGGGGCATCCGTTTGCACTGTAACAGGTACTACTGTTGTAAAATGTGAGAACTATAACGTGAAATCTGATAGAGATGAAACTGACAATTTACTCGTAATGCTAGATTTGTAAGTATGTTATTATTTACGGATAATTTGGTTATGACTAGTATTAAAGAAAATGTAACGACTTAGGAAAAAAACAGATCTGTTGATATGATACGTTATAATCCATGTCTATCTTAATAATTACATTCAAAATGTAGGTTTATTGTCAGCTGAAATGAACGAAGATCCTTAACGAAGACCAACCAAACGTACCACGAAAGTGTTGTAAAAGACGGAAAATATAGATGTACATTCTTTACCTTGGGCTTGTGTGGTAGTTTCTGGCGCAGGTACGGGTGCTGCAGTTGTTGGTGGTTCCGTTTGCTCTGTGGGTGTTGTAATAGTAACTACTATTTTTAAAATGTCACCTCAAGTAGACACTGCGTCATGTTTTAAGGGGGCTCTTGCTGTTGAGAGCTAGTGTAGCGTCATGGTTGAAGCTACTGATGTACACGAGAGCTAAAACTTGACTAATTTTAATAGATTAAGATTGAATTCTTACCTTTAGCGGCAATCAAGTATTCAAGTAATATGTCTTTGAAGATCTTTCAGATATGTGTTTATGCTTGTGAACAAGCAAAATGGTTTCTAATATACATGCTTTTTTATTCATACATTTATCATTTTTCTTTCTTATCAATTTGTTTCTGTTTTTAAACCTTCAGTTCCCGTGGTAAATTATGTGTCAGACGGAGGTGCTGTTGTGAAATTAAATGAATATTGAAAGGGATTTCGTTTGTTGGTGCAATAAATGCTATTTTTATTTACTGCATCAGTAGTAAATATAGGTGTCTAATTTATGAACACAGGCCATGGCAAATGATAAAAATATACTAAAAGATATATCGTGTTAGTTACTATCTTGAAATATAATGCATGTTCATTGCCACATTGCATATCTCAGCAGTATATAAGAAATCTAAAACTGTGTAAAAAAAAAAAAAAAAAATTGAGGAACGTGCATTGCTTGTTGACACATGTATGCAACACGACAAGCTACTTGAAGTTGTGTAATTGAAAGGAAATTGTTAGCGCAAGGGGGACTGGTAGCCATAAGAAAATGGGAAAGTGCACGTGTTAGAGACCACAGTAGGTGTAAGTTAACCTCAATATATAGCTCAAAATGGAGATTTCTTTCTTTTAGGGACGAAATGGACTCCAAATAACCATGCCTTGAGAACGATGTACCTTTCAAGTCGATTGTTAAATTTAATGGTGCCAGTAGACCAGTGTTGTGATATTTTAACACAATTCGTTGTGGTTGGTTTATCTTATCTCATTTACCTTTTTAAATTTGATTTAATCTTATTTACCAGTTTATTTATATTTTGGTGCTCGCGTGTATAAAATCAGTGCAGTTTAGCTTTTTCTTAATTATCTTTTTAAATCTTTGTTTGTCGCATTTATACAAATTATTTAAACTTTGGTGCGTGCGCAGATCGCTTCGTGACACTGTTGTATGCATCACAACAAACTTTTACCTTGAGCTTTGGTGGTAGTTTGTGTGTCTGGCGCCTGCGTTGGGGGTGCTGCCGTTGCAGGCGATTCCGTTTGTTTTGTGGTTACTGTTATGATAGGTAATATTATAGTAGAAAATTTGAAGCATGGTTCGTATGGCAATTAAAGTTCGTATATTTGTTTGGTAATTACTGTTATGATGGGCAATATTAGCGTAGAAAAAGTGACATGATTCGTACGGCTAATAAAGTTTGTATATTTATATTGATATGATGGGTAATTTTAGCTTAGAAAATTGCTTCACGTTTAAGGCCTTTGTTCATACAGATATTTCTAGGGGAATTGTGTAATCGAACTGTTGAGTGACTTCAATCCAGGCATTTAAATCACTGTAAACGCATTAAAATTCATGTTTTGGCTAAATCCAAAGCTATTCAATGTAATAAATAGGAATATTGGGAATGAACAATTTCGCCAAATGACGTTTAACGACATATGCTTCTGAATTACACTGATTGATTGAAAATCTGTCAATATATGTGAGTAGCAGGATACTCTCTGTAAATCTAAAAGTGGTATCGAGTTGGAACGTATGTTTGTAATAATTACAGAATGCTGATTTTGTGTATAATTCTCTTTTTTCTTTTCTTTTAGCATATTATTATTCATATATATATATATATATATATATATATATATATATATATATATATATATACATACATATATATACATGCAAACATAATATTCTATACATATATACTTATACACATATATCTGTTAACGTATATGTGTATGTATGTGTGTATATATATATAATTATATATGTAAATATGTGTGTGCACATATATATGTATATATAGATAGATAGATAGATAGATAAATATAGATATATATTCGTGTGATAGTTACTATTGTAGAAATATCATCTCCAGTATCGTGTGTGTGTGTTACTATTGTTGTAAGAATATGATCTCCAGTTGACATTGCGCCCTGTTTTAATACGAGTTTGCTACAGATGAAAGCCGAAATATATCTAAGGTAAAATGAACAGGAAAAGCCTTACCTTGAGCTTTTGTGGTAGTTTGTGTGTCTGGCGCCTGCGTTGGGGGTGCTGCCGTTGCAGGCGATTCCGTTTGTTTTGTGGTTACTGTTATGATAAGTAATAATGTTGTAGATGATATGAAACATGGCTCATATATCGTGTAAAGTCACAGATGACACATATGATTGTAGAGGATATACTTGCAATAAAAGGTATATGCGTAAATAGCATTTGTCTGAGGATAGATAATTCCAATGCTTCAGAGGCTGATCCGAATTATGGTCGAAATACTGAGTCATTAAAACTCGCTTAGTGAAATCTCTCTGAGGTCCCTACCTTCAACAAGCATATTAAAGTTGATGTATAGACCAAATCCAAAGCTGTGTGTAGTGAGTAAATGTGTGTGTAATGCGTATGAATGCATTAGAAAAGAAATGTCAATATAGCCTGTGGCTAATACAGCTACATAAAATTTCACAGAACAAAATCCGGTGACTTGGAAGGGAAAAAGTTCATATGCTTTCCGACTTCTAATTAATGTGCTAATGAATGGTGAGTAAGTAGATATTCGCTGAGAATATTTATTTTAAATAATTTCTTTCACAAACTTGATTAGGAAAAGATGCTTTCTGCAGTTGCTCCTCAAGTGCCATTGTAAAGTTTGATACTGATATTATATAGTCTTATGTTTAAGAACTTGGCTGCTGTAGATGAGAGTTAAAGGATACTGTAATACAGTAATACAAACATAAAAAGGCTTACCTTGAGCTTTTGTGGTAGTTACTGTATCTGGTGCTGTTGTTGGCGCTTCCGTTTGCTCTGTAACAGGGAGAGCTGTGAGAATAAGCTGATAGAGTTAAGACCTAGACAACAGAGTCTTCAGAGATTAAAAGAGATCAGTCAATACTGATATACATATATAATAAAAAAAACTCACATGAATATAATTTTGTTAATGACCACTGTAGGTGTAGACTACTCTTTAAAAAGTAATTCATCATTATACGAGTAAATAGGTGAAGTTCCATAATTATTTATGATTCAAGGAAACTTTGAACTCTAAATAATGTACTTGATGAATGACACAGCTGAGAAACGAAAACCGTCGAATGATATAGAGTGAATGGTGCCAGCAAACGTGTTTTAGACCATTTGTTATGGCTAATGGTACAGTTTTTTGTTTTTAGTTTCATCCATAGTATAAATCAGTTTATTTAAACTCTGTGCGCGGGTGCATTCCTTGTCATTACTGTTGAATGTAACACACCACATATCTTGAAGTCACATAAATCTTTACCTTCGGCTTTGGTGGTAGTTTGTGTGTCTGGCGCCTGCGTTGGGGGTGCTGCCGTTGCAGGCGATTCCGTTTGTTTTGTGGTTACTGTTGTAATGGGTAACATAGTAACAAAAATGTAATGTTTTCTGTAGGGTCTATGGTTTTATGTTAAAGATTGCATTAAACAGAAAATGTAAAACAGACGTTCTATAAAGACTTTAGTTTATGCTTAAACCTCAGTAAATGGTGATAGCATCATTAGAAATCGTGCAGTAATTGTGTGTGTGTAGGTGTGTGTGTGTGTGTCGATAAAGATATATATGTATATATGTGGATGTGTATATGTACGTGTATATATGTATACACACACACACACACACACACACACACACACACACACACACACACACACACACACACACACACACACACACACACACACACACACACACACACACACACACACACACATATTATATATATATATTATATATATATATATATATATATATATATATATATATATATATATATATATATATATATAATGAATGTGCATATAAACATTTTATACGTGTATATATAAACTGTATAAATGTGTCACAGTTAATGTTGTCTCCTGGAAATGTAACATATTTTATGGTGCATCCAAACCCTTTATACGGGTATTAAGTAATAGGAATATGTACCTTCTGCTTCTGCGGTAGTTTGTGTATCAGGCGCAGGTGCGGCTGTTGTTGGCGCTGCCGTTGGCTCCGTGGGTGTTGTGTTTACTACTGTTATAAGAATGTCATATTTAGTAGGCATAGCCTCGTGTTGTAGAATACTGTTGCTATTAATGAGCACAAACTACAATTTCTAGTGATTCTTTTTATATGCTCTGGAATATTGTGGCCATTCTATCAAGTCGGGAATTAAGTTTGTGAGGTATTGATGGGCAAATATTTCCCAAACACATCGGAAACTAAACGTTCTCAGAAAGTGTACATATCCGCCAAGGCAATAGGGTCACTAATGCAATAAGTATGTTCAGACTTGAAGAATTACATTAGAACCACCTCTTACTCTGGTACACTGGTAGAATTACATTAACAAAAAAAAAATATTTCTTTTTTTCAAGTACACTGGTGACGTCTCGCAATGCTAATGAATCCTTTAAAAAAAAATCCCTGTCTCCGGATCGTCGCCAAAATTTAGTGGGATTTACTTTGGGCTGCTACACACCTCTGGTAAAAAAAATCATAACCTTTTTATCCTTCTAACCAACTAACCAAAGCTACCAAAAACATAACCTTGACATCGGTAGTTACAAGGAAAAAAAATAGTTCGCATTCATATTAGGCCACAGCAAAATAACTCAATGTACTTTAACAAACTTAACCTAATCCTTCCTATCATATCCAACTTAACCTAACCAAACTAGATTACATACTGCCATGCGACATTGCGCACATGCAAGCCTGCGTTAGCTTCCTGGGGCCTAAGAAAAGAATGTTGTTGACTGAAAAATACAGCTTCTACAATCAAAATCTGCGAATATTTTAATAATTTAGTTCTGACTGATAACTTTGTGAACTCTGTAAATTTTGCCTGAAGATCTGTTTGATAATAGTTTCATAAGTAGGTTCCAGATGAATAATGAAACAAACAATAATTAAATGACAAATACGGTAAAATGAATACAGTCCTTTTGTTTACCTTTTGTGGTGGCTTCTGTATCAGGCGCTGGTGCTGCCGTTGTTGGAGCCTCCGTTTGCCCTGCAGTAATTGATATTGTTGTAAAATTGAAGGTATGTATTTTCAGTTAGCCTCAAGAGAAGATACTGCAGCAGTGAAGCGAGTTTAGTAAAATCTGCTATATAAATGGGATGAAAGGCCCTATCACACACACTTTTTCCGTCATTTTTTTGCGTTTCCTAATGAACTCAAAATCATGTAAACAAACATGGCGCTATCGGAGTGAGGTCCCGGGAACACGAACATTCTCATACATATTACGTTATTTTAAAGAAATATGATGGTGTAAATTGTATATACGAATTTTCTAAAATATTAGCTTATGTTTACATTCACTCATCCCATCTAATTTATTAATAGCACAAGATCAACACGGAAATTAGTCAGACGGAAACGGTCGTAACCGTCTTGGTCTGGGAGGCGTTCCGTTTGTAGACGATCCTTGCGGAAAGCCTCAAATTCAGACGGAACCCCAGAAATTGACGGAAAAAGTGCTAGTGTGTAATTTATAAGTGTAATAGAAACAAATTGATTTTGATGATCACTATGGGTGTCGCTCAAATTCATCTAATGAATCGTCACTGTAGGACTACCAACTTATTTGAACTTCCACAGATCTCTTGGAATCAACAAAAATTAATAACACTGCAGGTTTAGGATATAGTCGAATGGTAATATACATGGTGGTGCCAAAAGTGTGCTTGTGCTATTTATAACATAGTTTATTGTGGTAAGCGTTTATCCTTTTTTCATAAATATTGTTTTTATTTATGTTATTTTTATTTATTTATTTAGTATTGGTGTGTGCGTGCATTGCTTGTAGACATTACCATATGCAACACAACAAACACCTAAGAGCTATACACATCTTTACCTTCAGCTTTGGTGGTAGGTTGTGTGTCTGGCGCCTGCGTTGTGGGTGCTGCCGTTACAGGCGATTCCGTTTGTTTTGTGGTTACTGTTATGATAATTACCAGAATAGTAATGTAAAAGATGGTTTTCAATGAGACTATAGGTTTATCCGTAGGATTATAGAGGATATTTTGTAATAAGTAATATGTAAAATGTTTCATGATAACTGCAAAACAACTTTAGTGACTATTGATATATCGGCTGACTCTGTGCTCCAAATTCTGTCCCACAGTCATCTACCATTCACGCGGTGAAATCATTCTAGGCTTCCTAGAATTTTACCAATCCAAGCTGCGTAGATACATGGTTGCAATCTCGTGTATGTATGCGTTACATTCGGTATGAAATAGCTTTAGGTAAACTTTTTAAAGCTTAAACTACGGAAATTAAGCCTCTTGGGTCATGAATCATAGTGAATACAGATGATTATTACGAAATAAATGGTTTTTCAAGACCTAGGAAGTAGATAGGTATGAAATTCATATCCCTTTGGTTAAATCTCTTTGCAGTAATTAATCAATTTCATGATTCTTCCTAGCAGTTTAACTTACTCATTTTATCGATCTACATTCAATAGTTCACACTGTATATTACGAAATACAACTAAAATAGCGGAAATAGTAAAAAATCAAGCAACCATTATTTGTATTTTCTCGTATTTCTGTGATACCGTATTGTAGCATGTGCATATACCAATAACGTTAATAAGTATATCTGTCTCGATCTTTTCTAATGTCTAATCAATATCATCTTAGAATGCCCAAATAAGGTGTTTGAAAAATCTTTACCTGTCCTCGTTGTTTCTGTAACTGGTGCCTGTGAGGGTGCCGCTGTTACTGGAGGTTCTGTAACTGGGGCTGTAATAGATGGTTATGTGTAAAGGATTAAGGATAGACTGAAATTTCTTAAAAAAAAAAAAAAAAAAAAAAGTAATAGTCTGAAATGAGTACCAGGTTGTTGCTCCTTTATGCATGATTATTATGAGTGCATAGATTTGTGTATTCATATTCATTACAAATACATGCGCGCGCGTGTGTGTGTGTGTACATATGTATATATATATATATATATATATATATATATATATATATATATATATATATATATATATATATATATATATGTATATGTATATGTATGGATATATATATATATATATATATATATATATATATATATATATATATATGTATGTATGTATGTGTAAATGTATGTATATGTATATATATTTATATTTACATATATACATATATATATAATATATACATATATATATATATATATGTATATATATATATTATATATATATATATATATATATATGTATATGTGAATATATGTGTATATATATACACATATATGTGTGTAAACATACACACACACACACACACAGACACATACGGTATAGTTATCAATATATCTCGATTTTTCGTGTGTGTGATGTAAATCCTTAAGACAGGGTAAAAGACATTTAGATGTTTACCCTCAGTTGTAGTTCCAACAGTAGTTTCTGTATCTGGAGCCTGTGTTGCCGGTTTCGTTTGTTCTGTAACTGTTACTGTAATAAAATGGTTAGATATTTGAGAACAGAAATTGAAAATAGTTACTAATATGTAACAGAAAGCGAGATGGTGAAGATTCCCTAATAGTTTACAATTAGAAAAAAATATCTTCGTTTTACCCTCGTAAACTATTTTAAAAGCGATGTCTGCTTGGCGCTATAGTTGCAAGCCTCAACTAGTCAAGTCTGCTCAATGTAGAATTCAAACCCTACAGATAATCTATCCTATCCTCTACCTCAGTAAAAATGAACCGTATTCATGTTGACAAATGAGGAAAAGGTATGAATGAGAATGAATATCTTCACAATATAAGAAATATATCGGACCAGTTACGGATATATCTTCGTCAGAAATACACGTATTTCTAACCAATATATATTCGAAACCGGTTAAATACATCTTTATATTGTGAAGATATCCATTCTGATTCATACTTTTTCTACATACCTCAGCAAAGTTTGAAACCCACGGAAGTAATGGAGTGCAGTGTTAGTAGCACAATTATAAAACCTACCAACTTCTACCTAAGCAAAATACTTACCCGTGCATTGTACAGTATGATGTATACATCAGACTTTAGGCGTTTATGTTATTAATTGACTGCATTTAGACATATTTTTCATATACATCAAATAAACATTGTCTTTAATATTATCAATTTCTGTCCTTATTAGTAATATCTTAACGATCTTATTCAGTTATTTTTATTATTGTTGTTATTATTCTTTTATTATTATTATTATTATTATTATTATTATTATTATTACCTTCACCATTATTACGTAATGGAATGACTACTACTATTATTGATGATAATGTTGCTATCATTATCATTATCACTACCATAAGTATTACTATTACTGTTGTCAATGTTATTGTTATTATCATTTTTATTATATTTATTATTATGATTGTTTTAATTATGATTATCATTATTATTATTACTATTACTATTGTTATTACTTTTATCATTTTTATCGTTGTTGTTATTATAAATATTATTATTATTAGTATTAGTATTAGTATTATTATTATTATTATTAGTGTTATCATTATTATCGTTATTAATATGATTTTTAGAATTAACATTATCATTATTACCATTATTGCCGTTATTGCTGTTATCATTGATACTATTACTATGATTATTATTATATCTGTTGCAGTTGGGTCCGTCCATAAATTGATATAATACAATTCCATAAAAGTCTTGAAATTGATGTCAAAAAAGTAAGTTTCTTGTCGTAAAGGTCAGCCTGTTGTTATTGTCAGTTTGCCGGTTGTTGTGTTTATAGTTGTAGATCCATGTGGTGTTTGTCTAGTCGTTGGTGTTATGAGGACATATGGTATCATTGTACTTGTAGGTATGGATGTTATAATTGGTGGAGGTCCTGGTGTTGTTACGAGTCCAGTTGTTGTAGGTTCTGTTCGTTTTGATGTTGTACGCCTGTGTGGTTGTAGATCAAGGTAGTGTCGTTTTTACTGCCATTGTTGTAAATACAAATGTTGTAGATATAGATATATGTTATTGTAGGCCCAGCTGTAGTTGTAAGTCATTTTTTTGCAGGTCTGGGTGTTGGTGTAGGTCAGTTGTTGCTGTTATTATAGGTCTAGATGTTGGTCAAGCAAGTCCAGCTCTTGTTAGATGTCCACCTGTTATTGTTGTTGTAGGTTCAGCTATTGTAGCTCAGCTGTAAGTGTAGGTCCAGCTGTTGTTGTAGGTCCAGCTGTAGGTGTAGGTGTAGCTGTTGTTGTCGGTGCATGCTGTTGTAGGTCCAGCTGTAGGTGTAGGTGTAGTGTTGTTGTTCCAGCTGTAGGTGTAGGTGCAGCTGTTGTTAGGTCCAGCTGTAGGTGTAGGTGCAGCTGTTGTTGTAGGTCCAGCTGTAGGTGTAGGTCCAGCTGTTATTGTAGGTCCACCTGTAGGTGTAGGTGCAGCTGTTGTTGTACGTCCAGCTGTAGGTGTAGGTGCAGCTGTTGTTGTCGGTCCAGCTGTAGGTGTAGGTGCAGCTGTTGTGGTCCAGCTGTAGGTGTAGGTGCAGTTGTAGGTTCACCTGTTGTGTCCAGCTGTAGGTGCAAGCGGTCCAGCTGTACAGCTGTAGGTGTGCAGCTGTTGTAGGTCCAGCTGTAGGTGTAGGTGCAGCTGTTGTTGTAGGTTCACCTGTTATTGTCGGTCCAGCTGTAGGTGTAGGTGCAGCTGTTATTATAGGTCCAGCTGTAGGTGTAGGTGCAGCTGTTGTTGTAGGTCCAGCTGTAGGTGTAGGTGCAGCTGTTGTTGTCGGTCCAGCTGTAGGTGTAGGTCCAGCTGTTGTTGTCGGTCCAGCTGTAGGTGTAGTAGCAGCTGTTGTTGTAGGTCCAGCTGTAGGTGTAGGTGCAGCTGTTGTTGCAGGTTCACCTGTTGTTGTCAGTCCAGCTGTAGGTGTAGGTCCAGCTGTAGGTGTAGATGCAACTGTTGTTATCGGTCCAGCTGTAGGTGTAGGTGCAGCTGTAGGTGTAGGTGTGTGCAGTAGGTCCAGCTGTAGGTGTGCAGCTGCTGTTGTAGTAGCTGTTGTGGTCTGTAGGTGTAGGTGCAGCTCGTAGCTGTAGTGTTGCAGCTGTTGTGTATGGTCAGCTGTAGGTGTAGGTGCAGCTGTTGTAGTAGGTCCACCTGTAGGTGTAGGTGCAGCTGTTGTTGTAGGTCCAGTTGTAGGTGTAGGTCCAACTGTAGGTATTGGTGCAGCTGTTGTTATAGGTTCACCTGTTGTTGTCGGTCGAGCTGTAGGTGTAGGTGCAGCTGTTGCTGTAGGTTCACCTGTTGTTGTCGGTCCAGCTGTAGGTGTAGGTGCAGCTGTTGTTGTAGGTCCAGCTGTAGGTGTAGGTCCAGCTGTTGTTGTAGGGCCCAGGCTGCAGCTGTAGGTGTAGGTCCAGCTGTTGTTGTCGGTCCAAATGTAGGTGTAGGTGCAGCTGTAGGTGTAGGTGCAGCTGTTGTTGTAGGTTCAGCTGTAGGTGTAGGTCCAGCTGTTGTTGTCGGTCCAACTGTAGGTGTAGTGTAGGTTAGGTCCAGCTGTTGTTGTCGTCCAGCTGTAGGTGTAGGGTCCAAGCTGTTGTTTGTAGGTCCAGTTGTTTGTGCGTCCAGCTGTAGTGTAGTCCAGCTGTTATTGTAGGTCCAGCTGTAGGTGTAGGTCCAACTCAGGTGCAGCTGTTGTTGTAGGTCCACTGTAGGTGTAGGTGCAGCTGTTGTTGTAGGTTGTAGTGTAGGTGCAGCTGCTTGTGTAGGTCCAGCTGTAGGTGTAGGTAAGCTTGTAGGTCCATGTTGTAGGTCCACCTGTTGTCGGCAGTTGTAGGTGTAGGTGCAGCTTTTGTTGTAGTTGTAGGTGTAGGTGCAGCTGTTGTTGTAGGTCCAGCTGTAGGTGGAGGTCCAACTGTTGTTGTCGGTCCAACTGTAGGTGTAGGTCCAGCTGTAGGTGTAGGTCCAGCTGTGTAGGTCCCAGCTGTTGTTGTAGGTCCAGCTGTAGGTGTAGGTCCAGCTGTTGTGTCGGTGTGTTGTTTCTGTGTAACTGTTGTGTAGGTCCAGCTGTTAGGTGTAGTGCAGCTGTTGTTGTCGGTCCAACTGTAGGTGTAGGTGCAGCTGTTGTTGTCGGTCCAGTTGTAGGTGTAGGTGCAGCTGTTGTTGTAGGTCCAGCTGTAGGTGTAGGTCCAGCTGTTGTTGTAGGTCCAGCTGTAGGTGTAGGTCCAGCTATTGTTGTAGGTCCAGCTGTAGGTGTAGGTTCACCTCTTGTTGTCGGTCCAGCTGTAGGTGTAGGTGCAGCTGTTGTTGTAGGTCCAGCGGTAGGTGTAGGTGCAGATGTTGTTGTAGGTCCAGCTGTAGGTGTAGGTGCAGCTGTTGTTGTAGGTGTAGGTGTAGGTCACCTGTAGGTGTAGGTCCAGCTGTTGTTGTAGGTCCAGCTGTAGGTGTAGGTGCAGCTGTTGTTGTAGGTTCACCTGTTGTCGGTCCAAATGTAGGTGTAGGTGCAGCTGTTCTTGTAGGTCCAGCTGTAGGTGTAGGTCCAGCTGTTGTCGGTACAAATGTAGGTGTAGGTCCAGCTGTTGTCGGTACAAATGTAGGTGTAGGTCCAGCTGTAGGTGTAGGTGCAGCTGTTGTTGTAGGTCCAGCTGTAGGTGTAGGTGCAGCTGTTGTAGGTATACCTGTTGTTGTTGGTCCAGCTGTAGGTGTAGGTGCAGCTGTTGTAGGTTCACCTGTTGTTGTAGGTCCAGCTGTAGGTGTAGGTCCAGCTGTTGTTGTAGGTCCAGCTGTAGGTGTGTCCAGTTGTAGGCCCAGCTGGTGTAGATGCAGCTGTTGTTGTAGGCCCAGCTGTAGGTGTAGGTCCAGCTGTTGTTGTAGGTCCAGCTGTAGGTGTAGGTCCAACTGTAGGTGTAGGTCCAGCTGTTGTTGTCGGTCCAGCTGTAGGTGTAGGTCCAGCTGTTGTTGTAGGTCCAGCTGTAGGTGTAGGTCCAGCTGTCGTTGTAGGTCCAGCTGTAGGTGTAGGTCCAGCTGTCCAGCTGTAGGTGTAGGTGCAGCTGTAGGTTCACCTGTTGTCGGTCCAGCTGTAGGTGTAGGTGCAGCTGTTGTCGGTCCAGCTGAAGGTGTAGGTCCAGCTGTTGTTGTCGGTCCAATTGTAGGTGTAGGTCAGCTGTTGTGTGTCCAGCTGTAGGTGTAGGTCCAGTTGTTGTTGTCGGTCCAACTGTAGGTGTAGGTCCAGCTGTTGTAGGTCCAACTGTAGGTGTAGGTTCACCTGTTGTTGTCGGTCCAGCTGTAGGTGTAGGTTCACCTGTTGTTGTAGGTCCAGCTGTAGGTGCAGTTGTTGTTGTAGGTCCAGCTGTAGGTGTAGGTCCAGCTGTCGTTGTAGGTCCAGCTGTAGGTGTAGGTCCAGCTGTTGTTGTCGGTTCAACTGTAGGTGTAGTTCCAGCTGTTGTAGGTCCAACTGTAGGTGTAGGTTCACCTGTTGTTGTCGGTCCAGCTGTAGGTGTAGGTCCAGCTGTCATTGTAGGTGCAGCTGTAGGTGTAGGTGCAGCTGTTGTTGTCGGTCCAGCTGTAGGTGTAGGTGCAGCTGTTGCTGTCGATGCAGCTGTAATTGTAGGTCCAGCTGTAGGTGTAGGTCCAGCTGTTGTAGGTTCACCTGTTGTTGTCGGTCCAAATGTAGGTGTAGGTGCAGCTGTTGTTGTAGGTCCAGATGTAGGTGTAGGTGCAGCTGTTGTAGGTATACCTGTTGTTGTTGGTCCAGCTGTAGGTGTAGGTGCAGCTGTTGTAGGTTCACCTGTTGTTGTCGGTCCAGCTGTAAGTGTAGGTGCAGCTGTTGTTATAGGTCCAGCTGTTGTTGTAGGCCCAGCTGTAGGTGTAGATGCAGCTGTTGTTGTAGGTCCAGCTGTTGTTGTAGGTCCAGCTGTAGGTGTAGGTCCAACTGTAGGTGTAGGTCCAGCTGTTGTTGTCGGTCCAGCTGTTGTTGTAGGTCCAGCTGTAGGTGTAGGTCCAGCTGTCGTTGTAGGTCCAGCTGTAGGTGTAGGTCCAGCTGTTGTAGGTCCAGCTGTAGGTGTAGGTGCAGCTGTTGTAGGTTCTCCTGTTGTCGGTCCAGCTGTAGGTGTAGGTGCAGCTGTTGTCGGTCCAGCTGAAGGTGTAGGTCCAGCTGTTGTTGTCGGTCCAATTGTAGGTGTAGGTCCAGCTGTTGTTGTCGGTCCAGCTGTAGGTGTATGTCCAGCTGTTGTTGTAGGTCCAGCTGTAAGGTGTAGGTCCAGCTGTTGTTGTCGGTGTAGGTGTAGGTTCACCTGTTGTTGTAGGTCCAAGGTAGGTGTTGTAGGTCCAGCTGTCGTTGTAGTCCAGCTGTAGGTGTAGGTCCAGCTGTTGTTGTAGGGGTCAGCTGTAGGTGTAGGTGCAGCTGTTTGTAGGTTCACCTGTGTCGGTCCAGCTGTAGGTGTAGGTGCAGCTGTTGTCGGTCCAGCTGAAGGTGTAGGTCCAGCTGTTGTTGTCGGTCCAACTGTAGGTGTAGGTCCAGCTGTTGTTGTGTCGTCCAGCTGTAGGTGTAGGTCCAGCTGTTGTTGTCGGTCCAGCTGTAGGTGTAGGTCCAGCTGTTGTAGGTCCAGCTGTAGGTGTAGGTTCACCTGTTGTTGTAGGTCCAGCTGTAGGTGTAGGTGCAGTTGTTGTAGGTCCAGCTGTAGGTGTAGGTCCAACTGTTGTAGTCGGTTCAACTGTAGGTGTAGTCCAGCTGTTGTAGGTCCAACTGTAGGTGTGTAGGTTCACTGTTTTGTCAGTCCAGCTGTAGATGTAGGTGCAGCTGTTGTTGTAGGTCCAGCTGTAGGTGTAGGTTCACCTGTTGTTGCCGGTCCAATTGTAGGTGTAGGTCCAG